GGGAGGGAGGGAGGGAGGGAGGAAGGGGAAGAAAAGACAAAGAAAAAGAAAAGAAAGAAGTCATGTTCTGTGTGCCGTGGCATACAGTAGTAAAAGCACTTTATTTTCTTAAAATACCACCAAAAAGATTTACAGTTCTTTGACTTATCAGATCACAAATACTCAACTGGATTAACCATAATTGGAACAGACTCTGAAATGTAGCACAAGTTCTCTAGCCAAATATCCTTAAGAAAACCTAAATTGGAAACACCCTAAGTCCCACAGCATCTCAGAGCTCTCATAATTCTTAAATGCTGTTTGATGTCATTCAGTCTATAATGCCACTTTCACACTATTCTAGTGGGTTTCTAGTGTGTCTTTTCGATTGAGGAAGGAAGAGAAAAATTAATTTTAATTGACCGGATGCCTGAAATTTATAATATGCTGATGCTTATGATTTTCAAAATGGTAACCCCCTTATCAGTATAATTCTCTGTCTGACAATGTATACACAAGGGAACTGATCTTACTCTGTGTTGTCATGATAAAAAGTGATTACTTAGATAATGATTTTGCAGGGATTATCCTAATTTCCAGAAATAATCCCTGGGATCATTACCATTTCTAGGCAACCTTGCAGAAAGCATCCAGAAAAGTAATTTACCAAAACAGGGCTTTGAAGAGTTAAAGCCCATTGGGGTATAAATACTGTAATAAAAATTTACTAAAGAAAATTTAGGAAATTGTGTCCACCTTTCTTTAAGATGCCAGTAGGGGAGAAGTTTAACAAATCATTCATGATTACATTCATTTTACTAATTTTTATTAACTGAAAAATATATGAAAAGCATTATTGTCTACTCTAAAGAATATACAGAGATGCAATATTTAAAGAGATACACAAACCCAGACACTAAGTAAAATGTAGTAATTATAATGATATTTTCCAAATGCCTACTGCATGCTCAACACTATGTTCACTGATTTAGGAAGAATTTTTAAAAAATGAATATGATGGTTCTCCAAGAGCTTACATTTAGTTAAAAATCAAACGTATACAACAAAAACTAAAAGCACTATAAAGTAACAAATGAAATAGTGCAAAATAAAAATAAATTAAATTAATACAGAACTTTAGAACTAAAAGAAACCATATACATTATCTGGTCCAACCACATCATTTTTAAAAGACTAAAAAAAGATGCAATGAGGCTCACCAACTTGCCTGAGTTACCAAACTGAAGAAGTTGAGCAAGACTCCAATTCTATCGCTTTTTAAATGAATCAAAAATATTGGGCAGAAACATAGTCCCAACTACAGAATATCTGGTAGCTTTTTAAAAAATCCTTTATTCAAATTTGGAAGAGTGACCACTAATTTGCTTCGTGAGCATAAAGCATATAAATAAATCATTTTTCTTGTGGTACCTTAGCACAGGAGGCTTTTATTGGGCTAGGAACAATCTTAACCCAGACAGCTCATCTAATTTGAGAAGAAGCCACTTATTTTTGTCATGCACTTTATGTTTAAAAAAAAAAACAAAGAAGATGTTCTTCTCCATCTTGTCCTTTCCTTCAAATAAACCCTATGTAGAAAGTGTTCTGAGATTGCCCATTTCCCACCAAAAGGAAAAGTATCATTTATTTTTTTACTTTGGGTGTAAAACATGAAGAATTTAGTATTCTTTTTGAAGACTTGTTGATTGATATCTACGAAGACCATTTTTCATTTTAAAATACCAAATATTAAAAATATATGCAAATGTATTTTTGTGTTTAAATCTCAGTTAATAGAAAAGCAATAGCAGCAGTCTTCAAATCCTGTCACTCTACTTCCTTTCATCCCAGCACATTCAAGAAAGCATACAAGCATTCACATGCTTTGTTTTGCCAAGGCTGAAGTGATTAGGTGAATACTTTCTGTCCTAAGCATCAAAGCCACCTAAAAGGAGATGATACCTGGGGGGAATAATGACAGAATGGCAGCACCAATTGCCTGGACACCTTCCTATAATAGTATGTTGGAACAATTTCCAAAAGTAGGACATCCAAAACCTCCTGGAAACCCTCTGGGGGCCCCATTTTGAAAACCATGAGCATATATGAATGTTTGAATAAGCCAGGAAAACTGACTTGGTAGCAAGCCATTGTTTTCTCTGATCCCACAATCCCTGGGCTAATCTACTTCTCATTCCTCCAATGGCTCCCCCTTTCCCACCTGAAATCTTTGCTGGCTCAGTCCTGGAAATGATCCCAAGTCATCAGGCAGCAAACAAGAAGCTCCCATCATGGCTACCTGTCTTCCCTGAGGGCTCACTGGCTCCCACTCCTGCCACTCCTAACTCTATCATCACTGCTTGAACATAACTGCTGTTCAACTGAAACAGTTCGCATAATTCACACTCCCATATTTATTCATTTCTCAACCTCTTTGCTAGTCTGATTGTGATGATGATAATAACAACAATTAACAGTTACAAAATGCCTGCAATATGTCAGCTACTATGTTAGAATTTCTATACACATCATTTATTCATCTCAACCACCAGCAAATTAGTTATATTGCTATATTCATTTAACAAACTTATTTGGTATTTGACATCTATATATTAAGCCAGTTTTTACTGAGTACTCCTATGAGCTATACAATGTGATAAGGACTGGATAGAGATGAATATGAATCGAACTCCAGCTAGGCTCACAACAATAAGTGTATAGGAAGCTGAGGCTCTGGAAGGTTATATAACTTACCTAAGGTCAGACAACCTTATAATAATAGTCAGAATCTGAAACCCAGGTTTCTGATTCCAAGTCCACACTGGCTTCTAAGAGACCCCAAATGAGTTCACCCCATTTTCATACATATAATGCCTGAAGCTACCTCAACTGTAGGCAAATTCAGAGAACCAGTAGCCCGCCCACTAGCCAGTCTCAACCCTCCACTTCGTACAGATCCATGTCTCAATCCAAATCCAATCTCTTCACTATGAAAATCTTAAACCCCCAGATTCTGTGACCTCTGAAAGCTGGAGACTTGAATGTTAAGAGTCTCTAATAAAATAATATCTAAATTATTTTTCATCCTAAAATGAAGCATCAGAAAGTTAATTCAGGGATAAGCATCTGTCCATATGACTGCTTTGAACCTGCAAAATCCCCAACAGAGAATCTTATTTCCACTAGTAATATAGACCAAATATTTGGTTCTCCATACCTTATCAAAATTAACTGATTTCACTTTCATTTCATTTTACTTACAATTACATCTGCCCAAAAACCCATCCAGAAAATCAACGTTAACTATCATAACTCAACTGGACTGACTCTACCTGTTAACATTTTCCTAAATTCTTAGGAAGGGAAACTTTGTGGAGACGAAATGTAAGATAGGAATATAAAGTCTGCTATTTGCAGCTGTACAAATGTAACTGTAATAGTTTTTGCCAACTGAATGAGTTTGTACTGAAGGCTACATTAAATGTATCTTTCTACATTTCATCTACACAGTTCATCTTCTGAAATTGCCTAAAGCAGCTAAAAATAGGAGGAAATACTTCTTTGAAGCATCTCACATTATAAACTTTACAAAATGTTATGCAAATCACTTATAGGAAAATATCTTCTCAAGAAACAAAATGTATGTAGCTTACCAGTATGGTAGAAAAAAATTTTTATTTTTTTACAGTTATCAGGATTTTGAAATTGAGCAAAGCCAAGCAACATTTTCTATATCTTTGATCACTTACCAGTTTTAGATCCTTAGAGGACAGCTTTGTGAACCACTGATTGTATTCCAGAGCAGCAATGATAGGTATTAGGTCCCTAGAAGCAGAAATAACAAAGTACGTGAAAGTGCTCTTACAAAAGACATATTGGCACTTAATTTTTAATACATGGCATCCAGGTTTACTTTTTAATTCCTATTATTCACAAACCCAACATCCAGCCTAAACTATTTTGACCACTAGACAACAATTAAATTCTCTAAGACAGGTCTTCTGTACAAAGCGAGCAGAATTCCCAAAAGTTGAAGTAAATTGTTTTAAGGGACTCCGATTCCTACTCCCAAAGGAAAAAGGGTTGGTAGCAGTGTTGCCTGGAGAATCTCCTTGCTCTAAGAGAAATCATACATCTAATTCCATACCAACATTCCAGTAATTCCTTGTTTCTTTAGACTGCTACTTCATAAATTTTTTAACCATCACTTATCTCATAGAGAATTCTCTAGTCAGGAATTTACACTGCAAGCAAATATAGTGCCTACCCTGACAATAAGTGACATCAGATGGATTCCCAATGCTTAGCGAGCATTTTTGCAACCATTTGGTAGTTTTTTTTTCTGTTCTTAGAAGTGATTACATCCATGAAATAGTCCAGATGCATTTTCATCTTATGCTTCATATCAGCTCTTCAGCCACAAAGGGAAGCTATTTGCATGAGAGATCTGCCTCCCCTCCAATTTTCCAGCCTGAGCGCCCACAACATGTCCCATCTCATACTCAAGAAAAAAAGCCAACAATTTGCTACTCATCTAACTTGATATGCAATTTCATATCTGGAATTATCTTTTACTGTTGTGTTCAGTTATGAAAGTCTATGTATCCTTAAATGACTACATCACACATTCTCTCCTCTAATTCCTCTCCTGTTCAACTCCTAGCACATTGCTTGTATCTCTATTTGGCATTTATTTTATTCTATCTTATAATATAGTTTGTTGCCTTAAGCATCTATTCCCTACCACCACCAATTTTAAGTTCTTTGAAAACCCAAGTCATCGTCTATTTCAGTTTTTTGGCTTTAGTGAGGCCATATCGGTTTTATCCTCAGTGCGTGACAAACAGCAGATATTCAAATTTTTACTGAAATAGAAAAGACAGGCAGAAGATGGAAAGAGGGCTGAGAATCAATATTATCTGATAGCTTCTGGGTACCAGGCCCTCTGCTTGGCACTCTACACAGACCAGCTCATTTAAATCTCGAAACAACTCTAGGAAGCATTATTGTTCACATCTTACAGATGAAAGAACAGATGTTCAGAAAATAAAGTGAAACTAGGCCAAAGGGACAGAACTATGGTGAACCCAGTCTCTGACGCACCACATGTGTACAGTTTCATTAGACATGCTTTAAAAAGATGAAATGAGTTCCCACAGGTAGTAGAGAAAAACAATGCAATCGTTTAAGGAATAAGTAGGTCCAGTCATCTGTCTCCATAGGCCAGGTTTTCTACTGACAACGCTCTCTATTAACTTTCCATAAGTTTAAAATTTAAAAAGAAGTTTTAGTAAAAAAGGAAAATAACTCTTTCATAGTTGTTTCATGGTCTTCTTCACTATCTTCATCCCCTTCCATTGACTAAGTGCTCTGAGCTCAGAACAAGTCCCAGCATATGACTGATGACAGATGTAGCTTCTCTGAGAACGAATTCTATTTTATTAGAGAGAGTCCCCAAAGTCCACATCATTCAAGGGTTTTCTTATACACTTCGACATTCAGAACTATGCCAAAGCATTGTCATCTCATCTCCTTCGGGGATTCTATGTCAGAGACTGACCCCACTTCATAACCTCTTCATTGTGTATTCTATTCTCTCACTTGATCTGATTTGAAGTATGACTGGCTTTTGTCACAGATCAAGTCACTTTCAGGAACTGAAGGACACATCATGAATAGAACTAGGTTTTACACAAATGCAGTTGATAAAACAGCATCATCTCCACATATAATGTGCAAAACCCTTGGAAAAAACATTCTGGTACAATACAAGTCAAATCTAATACTTAATAACACCAAGAATGCTTATGGTATACAATACCATTAAATTTTAAAAATATACAACATTCTAGATGTACATTTGTGTGATAGTCAACGACTGTAATTAATAAAAACTACATATAAAATGATAGGTATAAATATTTACAAATATAGACACTGTGTTTAAGAGAAGAAAATACAGTAAAACATCATAAGGATACCTTGTCTAGGTGTTAACATTAAAGGTGATACTAATTTTTTTCTAACAAAACTCTTGTATTACATTTTTAAAAATTTTCTATAATGATTCACATTCATAATCTAAAAGAGTTATAAAATTAAATGTTCTATAGATGGTGTAAAATAAAATTTTGTTCTAGAAAAAATTATCCATGAAGATGGCGGAGACAAAGCATGTTGGCATGGCCTGACTACCATGTTTCTCTAACTTATGTCTAGGCTTTTTAATGATTTAAAAAAAACAATTAGAAGGAGACAATCAATCACATATCTTAACTCACTCAGTAAATATTTATTTAGTGTTTACTAAGTACTAGGCAGGGTTACTAGGCTCTGAGGGCTAAAAGATAAGTAAAAAGAGTAGATTTTGTTCCTCCACCACACTCCAGTGGGGAGGAAAGACTTGTGCTCAACTATCTGTAGCACAATGGGAGACATGCTGAATAGGGGGAATGCTAAAAGAACCATAAGAACACAGTAGAACAGCAAGTAATTCAATCTGGAGTAGACGGGGAAGGATTCACAGGATTTAAAAGACAGAAAGGGGCCAAGAAGGCAGGAAGACAGAAACACAGTATTTCAAGTAATTAGTAACATCATATATGCAGGCATGGAAACCTGAACATGCCCAGTAACCCCATCCATTCATATAATCAACAAGTGACGGCCATTGTGCTTGAATCACTGGCCTAGATGTAACAGTGAACACAGCAAATGTTCCCTGCCCTATGACAGTGACAGCCTAGCATAGCCTTGCATCAGACTCTGGGAGGAAAAGCAACTATTGATATAGTAGAGTGAAATAAGCCTCATGGGGTAGGGGGAATACAAGATACTATGGGTGCATATAAAAGGGATGCTAATCAAGCAGGTCAAGAAAGGCTTCTTACAGGAAGGTATCGAGCCCTCAGAGATGAGGAAGTGGGATGAGACATATATTCTAGGCAGAAGAAATGGCCACCAGAGTAAGGTATAGTTTAGTCTAAGACTTTTTATACCTGATACCAAAAGCACGATCCAAAAAGAAAAGAAATTGATAAACTGGACTTTGTCAAAATAAAAAACTTTTGCTCTGCAAAAGATGTTGTTAAGAGAAGGAAAACACAAGCCACACACAGGGAGTAAATATTTAGAAATCACATTTCTGACAAAGGACAGATACTTCACCAAATAAGGTATATATATAGAAAATAAGTACATGAAAAGATGTTCAAAATTATTAGCCATTAGGGAAAAACCAAAATGAGATTCCGTCACATACCTATTGAATAGCTTAAAAAAGAAAAGAAAAAAAAATCCCAGACAACAGCAAGTGCTGACAAGGACGCAGAGCAACTGGAACTCTCAAACATTGCTGATGAGAATGCAAAATAGCACACTCTACATGGAAATCAGTTTGACAGCTCTTAAGTTTAACATACACTTGCCATCTGACCCAGAAATCCCATTCCTAGGTAGTTACTGAAAATAAATAAAAATTTGCTCACACAAAACTTACGTGCTATTATTTATAAGAGCTGTGTTCATAATTGCTAGAACCTGGAAACACAGATGTCCTTCAAAGATAACTGCATGATTTTCGAGGATAGGTTAGAAAAGGCAGTAACACAGCTTCTACTCAGCTCTCTCTCTTGGCAAGCTCACCCACGGAACCCAATTGCCTTGCTGTGAGGAAGTCCAGGCCACATGGAAAGGCCTCATACAGGTTTCCCAACAGACAGCCAGTATCTAACCATTAAGACGTGAATGAGAAAGCCTTCACTGCAACTCATAATTGTTCTTGCTGTGGGTCATTAAGTTTGGGGTGGTTTGTTACACAGCAATAGACAACAGAACACTTAGTATCTAGAAATAAGTCTTGAAAGCCACACTAAGGAAGCATGACTGCACGTAGTAGCCATAAAAAGCTTTTAAGCAGAGAAATGTTTCCAAAGTTAATTTCTGCGATGCCCCTAGGAGGTATCAGAGGCAAAGTAACAGTCTCTGCAATGCAGGCAAGATGTATCAGAGATGCAAAAGAAGTCTGAAGCAGCAGATGTGTTTAGGGGCTAGAACAAGAGCCAAGGCAAAATAGAGAATTTTTCCCAAATTAATTTATAGATTTAATGCAATCTCAGCCAAAATTGACTGATTTTCTCATGGTGAGAAGTGGGAACAGCTTTTTGCCATTGGTCCATGACATTTTATTGTTGATTCCACTGTGTTTTGCTTTGACCTCCTAAGAAAATCTTAATTACAATGTGACCTTTGATCTGAAGAGGAAAGTTAGCCTTAAAGAGTGACAACAGATTAGGGAACCCTCTCATGAGTCTTAGCAACATGGCAAAAAAGCATTCTCCTGTCCATTTCCATATGTCACTTCTACTATTTCCTTAAAATACTTTAAGACTCCAAACCCTGAGAAAGAAAGTACAGCATTAACATCTCTTAGAGCCACATGGCATAATCATTTCTTACCCAACACTGAAGAGAGATGAGACAATCAACATTCACTAATATTTTTA